CAATGGCTAAGAGCAGAAAAATTGAATAGAATAAAGAGATGGAGAGGCTAATTCTGGCTGCACAAGACCAAGCCTTAAATGCATTCAAACTCAGAATTAAGAAGACAGTAACAGACAGCAAATGATGCCTCCTCAAAGAAGCTGAAGAAACAGAGGACTACCTGGTTAGCTGCTGCAAGAAGATCACACAGACTGACAATAAACAACAGCATGACAAAATAGCAACAATAGTGCATTGGAATATCTGCAACAAACACCATTTGCCTGCAAGCAAGAATGGTGGGGGCCAAAAATAGACAAAATAATAGAAAATGAAAAGGGTAAAGTGTTCTGGGACTTTAGGATTCAAACAAACAAAGACCTGCCACCTAATAAAATTTTTAGAAGATGAATATGGAAGTACCTGGAGACAGCACAACAGAAGAAAAGGAACTGGAGAAAATCACAAAATACAGAGACCTGCAAATAGAAATAGTATGACTGTGAGAAAAGAAAACTTTTGATAGTAAAAAAAACTAAGTAAAGATAATATCAATAATAATAAGCACCTTGGATACAATCCCATAATATCTACAGCACCATTGAAACACCACCAGCATTAACAAAATCCCTATCAGTCAATTGCTAAATTTCTTGGAACAGCTTACATCCTGCAACGATCTCTTTAACACCATCAACCAACACCCTCTCCCTATACCAAGTTCTTGGGAAGGACTCAATAGGTGAATAAAAATGATAAATCCAGTCTAAACATCTGGCTGATTGTGCAATGAAGCATAATAATTATAAGTAGATCATACACTTACAGTAGCTCTGCAAGAAGATCACACAAACTGATTATAAACAAAAATAACACTCACCATCTGGAACACCTGTAAAAATTACCACGTGCACTGGTCAAATAATACTTTTTAATCAAGGAGAACCTACCTTCAAATCCAAAGAAGAGTTGGAATCAGAAGGAGGTGTCTGTCAGTGGTTTACATATTTACAATTGAAAGAAAGGTTTAAAGAAGATAAGAAAGTTATTGATTTGACTTTGAAAAAAATGAATTGGAAATTGTATTGTAGTAATGATTAACATATAAATACCAAGATTTATAAACTGCTATTGAGATCAAATTTGGAGAAAGAATATGTGAAGCATTGCATGGGCAAAGAACTATAGGTATAATATAATGCTTGAACAATGGGAAAATATGTAGACAAAGATTTAAAATTTACATTAAATTATATCTTAACATGTTTATAAAATGATATACCATGGATATTTAACACCAGATAAACTGTAAAAAATGTATAAAGATATTTCAAATGTATGTTGAAAATGTAAATGTAACTAAAGAACTTTTTTATCATCTTTGGTGAACCTGAGATAAAGCAAAAAAAAATTACTGAGCTATGACTCATATTTTAATACAGAAGATTATTAAAGTTAATATAAAAATAAAATCAGACTTTTCTTTCAGAGTTAATGGACAAAGTTGAAAAAAATGGAAATTTGTTATATTTGTTGACAAGCAGCAATAATTATTTATGCACAGGAATGGAAAAATAGTTTAATTTGCACAATGGATACTTTTTTGAAAAAAACTGATGCAACTAGCAGAGAGGACTAAATTGGCTGCCTTAATCAAAGAAAAGAACACATTCAACTTCATTTCTGCTTGGAAACCACTTCTGGATTTTGTGCTTGAGATGGAAAAAAATGGAATGTTGACTTTGGGTTTTCCTGATTAGATAGAAACCTCTGAGCAATGAGTTATATTTCCAAGCTGAATTTTTACAAACATTTAACTTTGATTGCTTCTGGAAGAAGAGGTGATTGAAGCTATATCGTTTTCTCTATTTTTTAACATTTCTTTTTAAATATGAGCAAAAGTATAACAAAAAAACCTTTTTTAAAAAACAGAAGTTGAACAGACGGGTAAAACAGCATAACATTCTACTACATCTTCATAAGAACCTTAGCAATAGGGAAGTTTGCCTCCCGAAGCTCTGCCTCTTTATGCAACATTTAGTACCTATATTTACCAAAATAATTTTGCTGATCCCCATGTGTACACATAGCTAGCTTGATCCCTCCCTCCAGTCCCAAGAGAAAATCTTCTCCCAAACTGCCTGCTTTTTACCAATTCAGATTTTGAACATGTAATAATGAGGTCTAATTAGCGGGAAAGAGTCCTGATAAAAATAGCTCAGTTAAAATAGGAATCATGGCAGAGAATGTAAGAAGGAGAATAAAAGTGCAGTGGAGGTGAGGTTGAGATGTGAAGGTTCAACTTCCTGCTCAAATGAAGAAGTTCTCACAAATCTTTGATTGTCTCTGCAGTTAATTATTTCATAATTTATGAATGCATACATATTGGCCCAGATGGGCAGGGCCCATTGTTAATCAGGCTCTCTGTTTCAGTAGTTACTGTATTTGATTACTGATCCATGGTGGCAACCACTGAGGTGCTGGTGTTGATTAGAATATTATACATTCATATAAGACAGCTTAATTAAGAATATGGGACTATTGAGTTCTAATTCATAGGCCGTATCAGCTTTATTGCCCGTGCAATCATCAAATGGATAGGCTGGGCAGCCAGTATAGTTAAGACATTGAGCTGGCAGCTTTGGAAATGCATGCACTCATGGAATTTAAACTAGATTGGTTAACTTAAGAACTTGATTATTTAAGGGAATATCATTTATTTCAGATATTATGAAAGAAGTGTATTAGTGTATCATTACAGTAGCATAACAGAAACTACCATTAAATATTTCAGACCCAGCTGTAGTTTACAAACATGTCTGTATAAGTAACTGCCAGATTATACATGCCAGATTGTTTTTTGTATTTTAATAATGAAAATACATTTCAAGAATTCATTCATAATATTTGTTATAAATGTTTTGTTCAGGCCTACACACATATGGAAACAAACACCGGGCTCAAATCAAATGTTCTTCAGTAGAAACGCAGTGCTTTTCCAGTATCTTTGGTGCTATGAGGAAGAGATTATGTATAAAGCTCTTATGGCACTGACCTTAAAAGCAGTTAAATGTTATGTGATGAAAGAGATAATCCCTAGCCATATGGAACAGCTTCACCCCTGAGATACGGGAAGCCCCAACTCTCTTAGATTTCCAGAAGACTGGGAAGGCCTGGTGCTTCTCCTCCCTCCCCTCCCCCCCGCCAGGCATGGAGCCAGGATGTCTATTGAGCCCAGTGTAGGTGAGATGTTATGATGCCTCACTTTACATATTATTCTTGCATTTTGTGGGATTTAAATAAATATATACATTATCATGATTATATGTATATATAATAATGAGAGCCAGTTTGGTGTTATGCTTAAGGCATCAGGCTAGAAACTGGGAAGTTTAATCCCATCTTAGGCACAAAGCTGGCTGGGTGACCTTGGGCCAGTCACTTTCTCTCATGTCTCCCAGTTTCTAGCCTGACGCCTTAACCAAAAAACCAAGCTAGCTCTCACTTTTACAGTTAGAAATCATTTAACAATAGGCTGGCAGATGATTTCAGTGCAAATCCTTTGAGGTCACTGAGTTTGTTGGCAGTGCCAGGGTGTAGAAAGTATTGAAAGGTAGGCTCACATGGATTAAAGGTATTTCATATAAATCTATATTCAATGCAATGTTTAATCCTACAATAATAATATTATATGGTTAAACTACACTCTCCTGATTGTATTTGGAGGCTCACCTGCAATAATTTTACATTTTCTTTTGGAGTATAACTGGACTTTGAACCTCATTTAAGTCACATTCAGAGAACAGACCTTTATTACTTCAAAATTTCCTTTATAGTGGGTTTACCAAATCTGAACTGAAAAAAAAACAACAGCTGACCATTTGATGGCAACAGAGAATAAACAGATATCTGTTTGTTGCCATCGAGAGTTCATCCAGATCTGCAACTTGGATCTGGTACCACTATTTGAGAGGCCCCACTTCCTCCTCAGAGTCTTTCTGCTGCTGGAAAATAGAGGACATTTGAGAATGATAAGATAATCTGCAGATAGAGCAGAAGTTATCAGATACCACCATTTCCTCAGAGAAAATAAGATTGATGTAGACTCCAAACCCATATACAATGTCAAGAAATAAAAGAGTACAGTAGTCATTGAAATAAATATCAACTATTATAATCAACTATTTTATATAGTGTCTGAGGACTTCAACAAATGCTGGCAATTTAGTGTCAATTCAAGCTTTAACCCAAAGTTTAAGAATACAGATAGTCCTCTGCTTACAACCACAATTGAGCCCAAGTTTTCTGTTGTGAAGCGAGTCATTTATTAAATGAGTTTTGCCCCGTGTTATGACCTTTCCCACCACAATTGTTAAGTGAATCACTGCAGTTGTTAAGCTAATAACATGGTTGTTAAGTGAATCTGACTTCCCCATTGACTTGGCTTGTCAGAAGGTCGAAAAAGTTGAACACATGACCCCAGGACACTGCAACTGTCATAAATATGAGTCAGTTGCTAAGGGTCTGAATTTTGATCACATGACTATAGGGATGCTGCAACAGTCATAAGTGTGAAAAACTGTCATAAGTCACTTTTTCAGTGCTGTTGTAACTTTGAACGCTCACTAAACAAACTGTAGTAAATCAAGGGCTATCTGTAGTCCAAATACTGCTATAATTTACATGTGGTTCTAAGCAAAACTAATTTGGGTAAATCAAATGTTACAAGTTAAATAATTTTGTCAACTATTTTAACAATTTCACTGTTATAACATCTTATGCTCCAAATATTGTTACCATTATCTGTTGTACAAACATTATTTTTTTTCTGACTTACTGCCAAATTTAGATTGCTAGGTAATTTCTGGGACACCTTGATAGTGTTTATCAGTTGATTACAAAACTAAAAATTTGTGATAAAGCAGTTAAGTTTCAGATTCAACGGTTTATAATCCTCCAAGATTTTTGTCAGTTTTAATGTATATTTTATGGTATTTCTTTTTCTCTCTTTTTTTTCCAGTTCAGCTGAAGAACAATTTCACTGGCAAACACAAGGTAAAGTTTAATTTTTCCAACTTCTGTGCTGAATCTTGTTGCTCAGAGGTTCTTTTTCCATTACTTGTTCTTGGATTGTGTTTTTTCATGGGGATACAATATCTTTGAACAGAAAAAGTTCAAAAAGTATTTTCAGTAGTGCTTAAATGTTTGTGAACCCTTTTGAATTTTTAATACATATGCATTAATATGAATTAAAACATGATCTGATATCTACACAAGCCCTAAAACTAAATAAAGAGAACCCACATGTTTATTTAACTCATTTGTTTAATTGACTTTTCTTTGTCTAGTTTTAGGATTTATATAGAGAATAGACAACATTTTAGATCTTATTTATTCAGACATACTGAAAATTCAAAAGGGTTCCTAAGCTTTTAAGTGCCATTGTATGTTAAGAATGACCTCTAGGTTCAGGTTTTTGTAGTGAACAACTTACCTATTCCTGTATGTGAACAGAGTGCAAATCAGTTATAACTGAAATAAATTGAAGAGCAAAATCTATTTATTGCACAACATCCCTACATGTTAGAGTGGGCAATCTGTAAACTAGCTTCATTTTTGTAGCAAAGATCACACTACTGAAATGCGGTGGTGAACTGTTGATTTACAGCAGCAGTTTCAATTGTTTTTTTAAAAAATAGTAACAATATAGATTTGCTGTAACTTGCTGATAGGGTTAATGCAGATATTTTTCAAATTCAAATACTTAATTAAAACATACAAGGAAAGTGGAATGAAAATTATGCTCCTGAGGCCTCCAGTGACATTACTGGGTTATCAACATGTTTCTTAGTGAGGAAAAGAAAATTTTAATTCCAGTCCACTGAAATGATCAGTCTTTAGTATTCTTAAATTACTATTAGCAGTTCAAGCAGTTATGGAAATGGTACTGAAGATATCTGATTGTTTAATAAATTTGGTTTTTTAAAGGTTCTTATCTTCAGTTTTCCAAATTTTTCTTTATGTCTTTCCAGATATTTGAAATATTTAAAATAGCATTTTGTTACAGATGGTCAAAAGGATATAGAAGATGAGCTTACAACTGGTCTTGAACTTGTGGACTCTTGTATTAGATCTCTACAAGAATCAGGAATACTTGATCCACAGGATTATTCAACTAGTGAAAGTAAGTTTCCCAAGAACTGTTGTTGTAGCCTACCCACAATTAAAACTGTTCAGTCTGCTCAGAAAAACATGATGCTTTTAAGATAAAAGGCCTTAGGGCTATTAAAAATCTTTTTTATATAATCTTGAATATTTAAAAGCTAGTGGTATTCGCTGAGCAATTGCTTATATATATATATATATGTACAATAATCACCACTCTGTTTTAGAGCCTTTTTATAAAGCACACAAAAAGCAGCATGGGATTTCTTTATGTACAGATAGTTTACAAGAGGAATGTGTAGAAAAGGAAAAGGCGCCAAGGGTTTAGAAAAGTTATTTATTTTGGTAAGTCAAGATGATTAGTCCAAAGATGCTTTTTCACGAGGGAACTGAACTTTCTTGTTTTTCTTTGAAGACATTTCGCCTCTCACCCAAGAAGCTTCTTTAGCTAATCAAGATGATTAGCTTTTCTACTCTATCAAAACATTGAATTAAGTTTTCAAAAGATTTTATTCCACATGGGTAATATGTGATCATCGAGGAGTTGGTTCCTTATTAAAGCGTTAATTTATAATAAAAATTCATAAATAACCATTGTTTACTGCTTTTGAACTTCACTAATACCAGTTATATCTGGTAGTTCATTGCAATTGCCATGAGTTTACAACTGCAGTAGGAAGAATCTGAACATATCCTTCCTTCCTTCCTTCCTTCCTTCCTTCCTTCCTTCCTTCCTTCCTTCCTTCCTTCCTTCCTTCCTTCCTTGTGTTTCAAATACTTCTTTCTGATTGGAAAACAGAGCCTAAATATATAACTCCAATACAACTTTTTTTTATAAGGACCATTTTCCCCCCTTATTTTTCTGTTTTAACTATTATCTTTCTGTTTTAACTATTATCTATTATCTTTCCTGCTGCCTGATTAGCAGAGTTTACAGAAAGATTAGCCAACCATATTTTATCATAGTGGGATCTATGTGATTTGTCTGTTGTTCAATGTGTCATGAAATCCAGAAAATTAACTGAATAAATTATGGTCAAAATAATCATGCTAAGTGTGGCTTGCAAATGGAGCTACAGAGGAGAAGGACAGAGGCTACTCATCAGACTTGGCATCCAAATATAAATAGAAAAGAAGAGGTGTTTGTTGAGATTTTGCTTTCTTCTACTCTATCTTCTTTTTTTAAATTTTATACGTGTGTATTGTTTAGAATATATTGGTATTCTTTAAAAGTATAAAAGTAGGATGCTGCTGCTGAGGATAATATCCTGGTCTCTGAAGCAGATATGAGCAGAAAAGCGACCATATGACAATGTACTCTGTTCTCTAGTCTTTCTCCAATACATGCATAAGTTCCTAATAAAAGTTGGAGACCAAACTACCTGACTTTAAAAAGACTTATCTTCAGTTCTGCATATATTTTACATGTTGGACTACAGTTATTTAAAGTTTAGCAAGCCTGACCAATTAGCAGAGATGATGGAAACCAGTACAGTAATCAACATTGCTAGCTCTACAGAGCTAGCAAGCAGAGCAAAGCATATATGTTATGTGAGCATAAATGCTTTCTAAGCAAGTTTCCACAGACTGAGTGAGTTATCAACCACAATGCTCAGACTTTTTTTTCTTTGACCTCTAGATATATACGTGTGGTATAATTGGTAATTGGTACGTGTGCTTATACATATCTTTCTAAGTTTTAGCAGCCCAGCTTTATTAGTTTCATAGAAAATAAAAGATTTCAAAGGAGGCGCATAATATCATCTTACAATCTGAAGGGTTATTTATTGATCAAGGCATTCTTTTTCACAAGAGAAGGAGAATTTAGGAATTGTTACAGGTATCAAAATTTTCATTTGACAATATTCAAAATGTAGCTGAACAAGAAACAAGTGGTCCAGAAGAATCTTTTTTAATACTGGTGACTGTGTTTTAATAAATATGCTTCATTTATGTATTACTGTGGTCCTCTAAATTTCTTAAGTTATATTATATAGATGTTTTACTTATATGAGTTAGTTAATTATGACTGGAATTTTTATCAGGTGTAGAATCTTTATTCAGTTGAAATGCTACTCCACTGAATTTCCAGGTGGAAAAAAATGATGAACTTGTATGTATCCAAACAGCAGATATGATGCTGAAGTGGAGACTGCTGACCAAGCGGTGACCCTATTTCATTAGAGCTTCTCTGGATAAGGAGAGGCCAAGCAATCACCAACATAGGCTCCTTGTGAGTAAACCCGCAGGATCCAGAGGAAACCTGCCAGTGACTCACAGGTAAGAGCACCTGGAGACTTAAGAATCATCAAGTTCACAGCTTCAAGTGGAGCTTGCTAAAGGATATTAGGTTCACCCAAACTCTGTTTTCTAAAACACATTTTCATTACAATCAATAACCCAAAGAGAATTTCGCCTGGGGTGTGACTAAAGTGAAATGCAAAGAAACAACTATAAGGATTTTAAAATAATTGAAAGCAAAAGGCTTACCAAGATTTTGAACTATGAAAATGTAAAACAATCAAATTTGGAAAATTGTTTATTTTAAAGTTCTTTTGAATTAAATAACTTTGAAAAATGTTTAACAAATTTTGGGAAAAATAGAAATTTTGGAAACTGAGATAGAAACAATAAGCCAAGAGATGGAAAAAGAACTCCCTGGAGTTGTTGGTCTTAACAATTTTGGGGGAATAAGATGAAGAAGACATGGGTTCAAAAATAGATAAATACTGTACACTTTGTCAGGAAGAAGATAAGAGGCCAGGTGTGAGAGAAAAGAACACATCTCACTGACTGATAAACTCAAACAGAAAAAAACACCATTGCAATGGGACAAATTGGAAAGAGTGATTAGAACTACTAGGGATACAACAAGAAGTACTTGTTTTAAAGAAGAAGACTGGAACTCTATGGACTTTTTGTTGAAATTGGATAAAAAGTGACTGTCAAGTTCCATCTGAGAAGCCCAATGAAGCAAAACATCAGAGACATTGCAATCTCTAATGTAAACTTTATTAGGCATTAGCAAACCAGTACGATAGAAGGAAAGCTAGCTCTGAGAATATGTCTGGAAGCAGATAATTAAAAGAGTAAAACTTTCCCTCCCCTCTCTGACAGTTCAGGTCACATTGTTCAATCAATCTTCCAGCAATTGTTATGAGAAGAAACTTCAATTTGCCAAAATGTCTCTTTGGCAGCTTCGGCTGTCACGCTGATAGGGAGCACCTGTGGATCCCAAACTCTCCCCTGCCCCCCCCCCAGTAACTATAGACAAGCTAGAAGTACTATGGCAATTCTAAAAACAGTAAATTTCGTAGCTTGACAATGACTTGGTAATTTCTGGATTTGCTTATTAAAAATGATTGAATACGGGAAGAAGGTCTCAAAGAACATGAAGTATGTTTCTTATGGTCTTAAAATGAGGCTAATTCAACAAAATATTTGAATATTCACTTAGATCAGTGAAGATCCAATAAAATTTCAGTAATTTTAATGGTTGGCTATATAAATAAGTAGGATGGAAGTATTGGAAGTATAAGCTGGTGAGGTGACAATCATATGATATGGACTTTTACTATTTCTCCATTTACATTTGCTGTGCAATATTAGTTAATATGGTGCTATAGAGGTACATACAGTTTCAAAATATTGTTTCAGTGGAAGCTTGGAATCAACTTCCAGTGGAGGTAGTGGGTCAGTCATCGGTGACTGAGTTTAAACATGTTTGGGATAAGCATGTTTATCAACTAACAAAATAAACAAAACTATTTTGTTTATGTTGTTCAGAATAGCTTCATAACTAATTTGACTATATCTAGCTTAGATATAATGACTTTGCATCAGCAATATGTCTCCTAATTTCATCACCATATTGCAGTGGTGTCGAACCTATGGCACGAGTGCCAGAGGCGGCACTCGGAGCCCTCTCTGTTGCCCAAGCCTTGCCTCCCCCCGCAACACCCTCCTCTCCAGCAGCCCCCCTGGAGGAGACTCGCCCCTGAGCGTGGCCCACACGGAGCAGCGCAGCCAAGGACATGGCAGCCAGGCAGCGTAGACAAGACTCTGCCCTCACACCCCATCATGCACAGTTGATGCTGCAGGGCACGGGCAGAGGGCGTGACCGTCACAGCACTGCTGGGCTGCCTGGGCAATCTGTGGCGGGCCCTTGAGGCGGTGAGTGGCCCTGCGGGCAAGCGGGGTGGGGGATGGGGGCAGGGGGTGGAGCGGGGGCGGGGCCAGTTTTTGGGCACTCGATCTCTAAAAGGTTTGCCATCACTGCCATATTGCATCACCAATATGTCTCTTAATTTCAGTTAAGAGGACATACTATTAAAACATATAATCCAACAGAGCCCATTTTCATGTGTGTGTTTATGAGTGTGTGTACATATAATGTATGTGTGTGTGATTGCATTTACTTAAGTAATTTGTTGAAACTGAGAAAACCTATAGATAAATACAGCTTTATGTAACAACTGCGTAAATATGGAGAACGGTTCCATTAAATTGTAGGATACAAGAAACAGTTTTTGTGGGTCATCTCTTTCAAACTGTAACTTTAAAATAAACACTGGGAATATGCATTTCTCTGCAGTTGCAGTTATAAACATCAAATGTGCCAGGTGTTTGTAATAATATGAGAATCTCCATTTATGCAATATGAAACATCATTAAGCTATTTTCACTTTGTTATCATTCTGCTTTCTGCAATTCCCCAATGAAAAACACCATCTTTTTTGTAGAATCTACAACATAAGCAGGCATTTGCTTATGAAAATATTAGGTTCTTGATTTTTCAGATCTGTTTCTTCTACTTGTCACTTCCTCTTAAAACATAATTAAAGTACATGACAAAGGACCTAAAGCTACTTTATTAGATGCATAAAAAGCCAATTCAATCAAATTCTCCATTTTGAAAAAAACATCTACCTATCACATGGTTGAACAAGTAAAATAAGATTAAATCTGGCATCCTAAACTAGCAGTTTGTTAATCAGTGACAGTTACTTTCTTATATTC